ACACACACAGGCACACCCCACACACACACACACACACACACACACACACACACACACACGCACACACACACACACACACGCACACACACGCACACACGCACACACACACACACGCACACACGCACACACGCACACACACACAAACACAAACACAAACACAAACACTGACACACACACACACACACACACACACACCGTCCCGGGTCCTGCCAGCTCCACGATGGCCTCGGGCCCACGGAAGGCAACGGCAGGGCTCGGGAGCGGGAGCAGAGGTGCAAGGTCCACTCAATGCACCGTCATATATACCGCACCTCCAAACGAGGTCGCTTCGGCTAGGGAGGGAAGAAGGGGCCAACCCCGCCACACAGGGTATTTCGGGGAGACTACTCGCCTTTAGCGGGCCCGAGGTGCGCCCCCCCAAAAAACGCTTCGACACGCCTGGGCGACGCCACGTCGCCACGGGTGACGAGGCTGAGAGAGCACGGGGAAGGATATAAGATGGAGAACATGACTGCGTCCTTCGATGCAGGTGTATCCACCAGCGCACGGTTGTAGGTGCGCAAAGTATCGTAAAACCAAATACCATGGGTCAAGTGTGACGACAACTCGATCAAAACAACCGATCTCTCATTCACGGGGCTTTCCAAGCCCCACAAAAATACAGACGGCTCTCCAAGCCCGAATTCAATCAGCATTGAGATCGAAGTTGTGAGAACAACTGATCAACTATGTGACGTAAATCCGATAGTGTGCGGCGCCGGAAGAATAAAATACACCAAAAACGTACAGCCGATGTGACAAAGTAACAGGTGGCGAGCATTTCGTCGCATATGACGTGGGAACCATGCTTTGCATGTGTCGTACTCTGTGTTTCGATTTCTCATGCAAGTACACAGTGCAAAATTATAGAATACCGTTGGCGGGCGACCTGCCGGGGTGCGTTTATGCCCTACGTGCCAAATTGTACGAAGGAAGGTCTTATCTGTCAAGATGTAGATGCGATGACAGTAAGATGCAGTATACTGCAAAGCCCAAATCTGCATGATGAGTAAATCAAAGCAGGCAGATCATAATAGGCAAAAGCATGTCCAGATAGCCACATCGAAATATTACCTAAACAATTACACATTCAGTACAGCAAATGTTGCCCAACGCAGGTGTCCCAAGATAGTAATTCCGATTGTCCCAGACGCGATTGCCGCGTTCGTCAAGCCATCCAATCGCGCGTCCGCTTGTTCCGGCCAAATGTATTCACAGTCGTTCTCGTCGATGTAGACCCACTTGCCGAGGAAATAGGACCAGTAGCGGTACGTGTCGCGCTGGTAGCGTTCGACGCTGTGGCGCCGCGATGTCTCCACGCGACGCTGACGCGCAGCACTGCGGCTGCGGCCCCCGTGCTCCACCTCGCGGGATCCGCCTCGGAGGTGCAGTGGGTCTCCGTGTGCTTGAAGCGGGGCCGCTGTCTCCAATCCAGCCAGCGCCATGGGCATGGCCGCCGATGGGGACCTTGCGGCGCGGAGATGGAGGGGCAGGAGCGAGGTGGGCGGGGTCGGTGACGGAGGCAACATCGGTGCCCATCTCACCTTTCGCTGCGCCCTCGGGGACCTGCCTGTGAAGCCCAGCCAGCGCAGTGCGGTTCATCGATCCCTGACCTCCCCCCGAGGGAGCGGAGAAGGTGATGGGTCCACGCTGAAAACGCTCGCTTCGGCTGAGTGCTCCAGGGGCCTGTCTCCGGCGACCGGCGCATCCCGAATTCGCGCCGCCACGATGATATTGCGCGGCATCGCGCATGTCATCGATCGCGAATTATTGCTTATTCTAGGCCGTCCTACCGTCAGCCATCTGAGTGTAGAAGAGAGAGTCCGTTTCAACCCTCTCCGCCACGTCAGCATATGGGCGGTGCAAGACGGTGTTCTCGTCCTGGCCATCCGCCTCGGATCCGCCCAGTCTGCAGGCACCTGAATGAGGCCTGCCAGCCTCGACCCATCTGGCGTGACGTTTCTCTGCCTTCTGCCGACGGCCTGCGACGGAAATCCCTCCTTTCAGCTTCATCGGAGCGCGTGTCTTGGAAGCGGATGTCAACGTCCGCGCGCATGATCTGCCGAGCGATTTGCTCGTTCAAGTTGCTTCGAGTCCACGCGTGAACGTTGGCGAGAAATTGGATCAGAGCAGCTCCGGCCCCCCCGTGCTTTTGCGACGCACTGCGCATGTTGCAGGCGCCGCCATGGAAGCCATCGCTGCGATGTTGCGAGGTTACGAGCGACGATGCGAGGTCGCTACCAGCGCGCGGAGTCGAGCTTGCTTCTATACTCCTGATGGTGATAGAATGCACGCGGAATCATGGGTACCACGCTGTACTTGTCCAGCAGCACATGCGAGCGCACGGCGCTTGCAGGATTGGCATCAGCAGTAAAGGAAAGCGATGATGTCACGTGGTCCGTCATGAAGAAAGGCGTGAGTAATGCATCTGTCCGCGATGCCCGTCACATTCTCGTCTCGAATGGCGGCGTTGCTGTGTAGGTCGTAATTAATGCGTCGATCCACAGTGGTCCACGGTGGTCAGACAGTGGTAAGCGTTCTTGTCGGCTTGTGCCCAGACGCGAGGGGCGGAATCGCGACGTGTCTTCCGCGCACGAAGCACATATTTGGCGAACTCCTTCTCCGCCAATCGTTCTTTCTAAGACATGCTATTCCCGAGTGATGGTGGTACGTGGTCTGGTCTGGAGGTTGCCTGGGCGCGGGTCTGGCGGCCGTGAATATTGATCTTGCCGTCGGTCGTGATCTCAGGCCGCTTGCAAAAGCGTAGTGTGCCGGTCCAGGGTTCACTGAGGTGGTTGTGGTCGTTGTCGCCGCCGTCCTAGACGTCGCGGAAGTATTTCTCGCCCTCGATAGTTGACGTAGTCTCGAAGCTACGGACAACGTCAATCTTATCTACCGGGATGGGAAGCGCAAACACATCGTCCGTTGGGCGAAACAACTGTGTCCGCGATGCACGGACATGGCGCAGTATAGCTTCATCACGTTGTTCCCAGAAGTCGGGCTCAGGAGCTGGAGCCGAAGGCCCTTGTGCCTCGGGAGGCTGTGCTCCGGGGCCAGAAGCCTCGTGGTTCTGGTTCGGGAAGCTTCGGAACGCTGGGGTCATCCCACTCCGCTGGGTATAGTAGGACGGGTCGTCCTTTGCCGGTGCCCCCAGGGGTCGGGATGTTTGGAGCAAGTACCTCGCGCGCTCCTGGATTGCGATGTCGGAGAAGACCTGCTAGGACAGAGAAAACGCGTCTCCCGTCGGGAATCGCAAAATTGTCGGCGCGATGCACATGGCAATGTTATCCGTCGGGGCCCTTAGCGCGCGCGGCCGCGTCGACGACGAGGCAGTCGCCGGACAAGCGCCCACCAGGGTGGAAGTGATATCCCATAAACAAACCTTCTCGCGTGCTCTCGTCAAACTTCGGCGCGGACTAGTCGATGTCTGGGTTCCAGCATGTCCAGAAGATGCGAGTGCCAAAGGGAACAATGCGTCCCTTGAAGGATCCTTCAAAATTATTGCCCCGCGAAGTGAAATCGGCGCATGCTTCCAGTGTGGCGGCAACTCCGTGAAAGAGTCGAGTAATTAAGTTGCGGCCGCAGCACCATGCCTGCATGGCTTCCTTCCACCAGTCGTGACCCATGCCCGAATTATCAAGCGCCGTTCGGGTGCCCTGTATAACGGATTTCATTGCGCGTTCGGCCATGCCGTTGGTTTGTGGCCGATGTGGCGCGCCGGTATCGCGTCGCCATCTCAGTTGTCGGCACGCTCTCTGTAACTCCCCTGAATTGTCCAGGGTAAAGAATTCCATAGAGGATGCCTCCGCGGTTTCAGCGTCCTCGTGCTCCGCCGGGTACACCGCAATAGCGCCCGTGAGTTTATCCAGCACAACCAGGGCGCATTTGTCACCATACTTGTCGGCGGCGTCGTCTGCTGCAAGGACAATGCGGTCGGCAGCCAGAGCTTCGCCGAATCGTTGAGGTGCGAACGCCTCGTGCTGAATTCGTCTGCGATAGGGTCTGTCGGAGGGTTGGGTCGGCGCTGGCGTCTGCATGGTGCGTTGTGCACTAGGATGCGTGCGCAGATCTCACAGTCAGGGTCTCGGGGGCTGTGAGTAATCTGGTGCGACGGGTCGATGGGTGGACGCGGGCTGCCAGGCAGTGCAGGCGCGGGTGTAACCGCTGGCGAAACTGGACTCGATGTCGAATCTGTCCGATCCATCGTCGCTGCAAGTGCATCCACAGGCGCCGTGACGTTGCGCGCGAGTGTGGGTGTGCCTATTGGTGCCACTACACTCTCTTCATGGCGTTCACATGTTAGTTGGATTGTCAACAGTCCGTTGCCATGCACGTCGGCTGCGTCGGGATGTAGGTGACGCGGCGCGCGGGTCAGTGGGCGGAATCTTCTGCATATTGCTGAAGCCGAACTCTGGGATTCTGTTGTTGACGTTGAGCTTGTACCATTGGCCACGAGGGCCTTGTTGTATATAACCAGGTTGTGGATCCCAGATCTGCCGGAAACCGTCCTCCTGCACCAGTTGCCCCACAAAAGTACCGATGGGCAGTCCTTCAGTGCCAGCGCCGAGCTCGACAGTCCAATGCGCGGTAGTGCAAGCTGGGTGTGCTCGTTGGCGATGTGATCGCCGCTGGCTGTTTCGGGGGTGCGCTCTCGTCCTTGACGCACTCGATCGAGTGGTTTCGCGCGGGTGAAGGTCGGCCTCGTCGTGGATGCGATGGAAGGAGCCGCTATCCAATATCCATGTTCATGGCAGCGCTGCCGTAGACCGCGGTGCTGTCGGTGTAGGCGTCGCCGCAGACGCACTGTTACAAGTCGGCGGTAGGTCCGACACCGTAGTCAGTCTGGAGGTCTGCATGAGCTCGCCATGCAGACGTTGCGCCTGTCTGTCTGGCACGCAGCGCGCGCGCGGTAGCCTCCAACCACCAGTCTGGCAGAGCGCTGGGCGCGTCGACCTGTTCTCCTCGGCAATGCGAGCCTTCAGTCCATTTCTACATGTCATGCTTGACTGTGTAGGTAGTTATGTCCACGTTGTCGAGGTCGAATCGGATCTGCCGCAGTGATGGGGCGGACAGAAGAAAAAGCCGTTCACGAGTCATACACGTGCGATCACGTCGTCGGTCGCACCGCGCTGCCGCGGGAGATCTGGCGCAGTCACGGGTAGATGTGGTTGGATGTTGCGACGAGATGTAGGTGGGCTGCGAATTGCCCATCACCGTTTGCGCGGGCATTTGCAGCGATCTCGGAGTGGGCAAGAGCCGTGGCTTGCGAAAACGAAGTAAAGTTCTGCTTGGTATTATCCTTCTGCGGTGGGCCGGATGAGCGGCCAGTGGAAGGTCGTCTGTCACGGGCGCCCCTGCCGCGGGTAGATGGTCGTCGTGGAGGTCATTGCGTGGGGCGGCTGCTGGAGCCAGCGCGCAGCATCTTGCACCTTGCACCATTCTTGCACCGTCCAGGCCCACATGCTGCACGAATCACGGAATCAGGTCGATGTGAGTCGTTCTTTAGGTTGCGCTGATTGCGCTCAAATGGGTGTAGTTCGAGGTTGGCGAGAATACGTTTTCAAAGCCACGCGTCTGTTCTATTTGGGTCGTCGTTAGCCATCTCGTTGTAGTCGTGCATAGCCTGCTTCATCAGGTAGAGTCGGCGTATCTGAGTTCGGAATAAAGACTCGAGTATTCGTGCATCGGGTGGTTCGCGGCAACCCAACAATAGATTATCCCAATCCACGATGAACCGTTGGAGGTCGTCTTCCCGCATGCATATCAGCCGCAGACGTTCAAAATCATGCATTGTGTCGTCGGCTGCAGTGACTTTGTAGGGATGTAGTATCGCCCAGTAGATTTGTCTACCCTTCAGCATACGGGCAGCTTTGCGTTCCTGAGCTGCGCGGTTCTTGATGCGGTATCGGAGCTCAATATTGAGGACTGCAGTGGGCCCAGCAGGGAGTTTACAGTCGATACTTTCAAAGTCGCCGCTGTCCTGGAGGGCCTCGTAGGTGGTGGCTGGTTGTTCAACGATGCATCGGAATGCATAGGCCTTGGCAGGGCGTCTGGAAGCGCTACCAAAGTTGTTGCGAACCATATGTTGCCACTCTTGCAGTTGTGTAGTGCGTCGCAGTTGTGGTATGCGTACGGCGTCTGGTTCCTTAATGGAGTTGTACTGGTGAATGGGGCGTGTGACAACGTCTGTGTTGGAACTGGCTGGGTTGGTGATGGTGGTCGCACAGGGGAAACGTGACGCGTCTGTGTGGAGGCCGCTGCGGAGGCGGCACCTGGCGATGCACGTCGCGCGGGTCCTGTGCGGATGTCACCATCGGCACGTGTAGAGACCCGGTCATGTCGATGGTCAAACGGCGGGGGTGGATGGTGGATATGAGTGTTGCTTGGGTGGGCTGTCAGTGCAGCTTCGGTGGTCGTGATGTCACTCTGCATCTAACTAACACTCTGTTGTATGCCACGTATCTCGACGTTAGTGTCGTGGGTTCGCTGGGGTACCTGTCCAGCCGTTGCTCTAGGTCCTGGATTCGTCGATGATGGGTTTCGCGTTCTTGTTCCAAACGGGTGAGTGCTTCCTCCGCCCGTGCCTTGTCGGCGTCTCTTTCATGGCAGGTCTGGGTGAGTCGTAACTGCGCGCGGTCCACCGCCATTCGTACCTCGGCCATTCGGGTTTCGAGGGGGGCGAAATCGTAAACCGAAGTCGGGGTGCCCAGCTGATCAGTCTGGGCCCGTACAACTCGCAACTCCGCCAAAGCAGTCTCATGTCAGGTAGCTGCTGCTCGACCGTGGAGACTCGGTTCTCAAGCGTTGGCACGCGCCCCTCGGAAGCGCCAATACTTCGAGCGAGGGCCATCTCGGCGCCACGCAGCTCGCCGTGCAACTCAGACGTGAGTGTGGCACGTTGGGGGTGCAATGCGGCAGCGGTCATTTCAACCTGGGTACGAAGTGTGTTGATGTCCTCACGTAGCTGTTGATCCGTGGGCCCGTGCACCTCCATAGACGGGATCTGTCGGGCCATCAGGGGTTCATCGTGCAATGTCCGAATGGCGGCAGTCCCGCTGTCTCTGACGCTCGCGAGTTTGGCCTCCATCCGCAGGAGGTAGTCGTGGATCGCCTGGACTGTGCTGGTGTCAAAACCTCGATGCGACTCTATCTGGTCAAGTGGATAGTGGACCTGAATGATGATCGATCGATCTCTGGCGATCCGGGCGTCGACCAAAGCAAAAACGCGTTGAAACTCCTGTCTGAAGGTGGCCGTCTGCGCGGCCTGGCCCGACAACTGTTGGGCCACGTAATTTTCACCCTGGTCTCGAAGCTCCGGCATGTCAGTGGCGGTGGGAGAGGCACACGACAACATGTCGCGCGGCAGCGAACCATGCCGTGAGCGCCGCTGGGAGGGGCTGCGGTTGGTGCCCCGAGTAGGCAAGCAAATGTGATACCGTTCTGGAGCCTTTCGCTGAAATGTCCGTTTGCCTCGAGACAAGTCACCGGCGCCGCCGCTGCGGGTGTTCCCTCTGGCACAACGTTCATCAGCGAAGATTGGGGAAGAGGGGGGAGGTGAGGCGAATCCAACCGTGACTCCGAGGTCAATTGCAGGTGTTCCCACAGGCACATGACGCGCTCCAATGGACGTATCAGGTGCCGCGACAGGACGATATATCCTCGGCGTGTGTGCGCGCGCGGGAGGCGGCTGCAGCGGGGAGTCCGGTAGAATCTCGCCAAAAGCAGACGCGAGCGAGGCGGTGCTTCCTTATTACAGACTCTCGCCCTCTCCGTAGCGTCGTCGTGCCCGCGCGCCGTCGATAACGCCGCGCGCATAGAGGCACCGCGCCCCGACGGGGGCGGTGCCATGGGGCGGGGCCAACGATGACGCGAGTCACAGCGGCGAAGAGCGTAAAATAATAGGCTGGTAACCTGTGTGGATAGAGATACGACCGAATGGTAGATCCTATGCCTGAGCCCGTAGGTAAAAGGCGAAGGAGGAAGAGGTTAGCTACTCGTTTTCCTGGGCGCTGCGCAGCGAGCACCGCGGTGTGTATGCCAGTGCAAATGCCTGAGCCGATACGTTAGCGGTTTATGACGATATCGTGGTGATGTGAGCTGACTTCGCACACATGGTCCTCCTCGGCGCTCCTCCTCCTCCGCATTCTCCTTCGACTTCGGGGAGGGCCTCTGGGACTGGCGACTGCGCAGAGGGGAGGAAGGGGACTTGGGATACGGGAAGGGAGGAATGGTGGAGGAAGAAAGACGAGGAGGAGGGTGGGGGAGGGGGAGATGGGATGATGGTGGATGATGGGCGAGTGGGAAGGGCAATGAGTGTGGAAAGGCGGACGGAGCAGAGAGGAGGAGAGGGAAGGAGGCGGAGGAGGGGGGGGAGGAGGAGGAGAAGGAGGAGCAGGAGGCGCGAGGAGGAGGAGGAGTAGGAGGAGGAGGAGGAGCGAGGAGGCGCGAGGAGGAGAAGGAGGAGGAGGAGGAGGAGGAGAAAGGAGGAGGAGGATGAGGATGAGGAGGAGGAGGAGGAGAAGGAGGCGGAGGAGGAGGAGGAGGAGCGAGGAGGAGGAGGAGGAGGAGCGAGGAGGAGGAGGAGCGAGGAAGACGAGGACAAGGATGAGGCCCAGGAGGAGGCCGACGGAGCGAGGATCGCGGGCGGCGGCCGCGGCCTCTGCGCGAGGGCCTGCGCGGGGCCCGCGGGGTCCGAGAAGAGGCAGAGGCACACGAGCCTCGGGGGCGGGGCGCGGCCGGCTGCGCCGCACTCTCCACGCCCTGCCAGCCATCGGGCACCCCTTCGGCCATGCCCCTCTCCTCGTTCTCCTCCCTCCTCCTCCTCCTCCTCCTCCTCCTCCTCCTCCTCCTCCTCCTGCTCCTCCTCCTCCGCCTCCGCCTCCTCCTCCTCCGCCTCGACCTCCTCCCACCCCTGCTTCTCCTCCTCCTTCTCCTCCTCGACCTCCTCCTCCTCCTATTCCTCCTCCTCCTACTCCTCCTCCCTCCTCTCCTCCTCCTCCTCGACCTCCTCCCACGCCTCCTTCTCCTCGATCTCCTTTTCCTCCCCCTCCCGCTCCTCCTCCTCCTCCTCCTCCTCCTCCTCCTCCTCCTCCTCCTCCTCCTCCTCCTGTTCCTGCTCCTCCTCCTCGCCCCCCCTCCCAAGACCCCCTCGAGTCATGAAAGAATCATGACTGGCGTTGCTTTGTTATTGTTAGCATCTAAGGGCCCTTAAATGGGTAAAAAAAAACGACTCAGGGTGAAAAACTGGTTCCGGGGAATGGGGCAAGACCTCTAGGGTCGTCATCATGACACAAATCATGACGTCGGGGGTCTGGTTCCCACTACGTTTTCCTCGGACCTCGGTCCTCGCTGCCTCCGTCCGTCTCCTCCACTTCCTCCCCCCCTTTTGAGCTCCGCGCAGTAAGTCATGCAGCGGAGCCCGTGGGGTCTGGTCCCTCCCTTCGTCGTCGTCCTTCTTCTCCTCCAGCTACTACTCGGTATCCTCCTCCATCTCCTCCTCCTTTTGCGCAGCCCCAAAGGGGTACATGTAGAAGGGGGTGGCGCTGTTGGCATGTGGACCTGAAGCGCTACAATGACGCATTCGCATGATGTGGCTACCACAGACAATTCGCAGCCCGAACTTTGATTTCTGGGGTCTTGAAAGGGTTAGCGCTATTTCGAGATGCCAAGGCCCGCCAAATCGTTGCAAGTGGGCGTCCGAGTCCACCATCGGATTCGGAAATGATTCCTAGGTGCCCCAATGTCCCCTGCTTGCTGGCTCTCTATACGATAAGGTCGGTTCTGAACGGTCACGCCGCAATCGGCCAGTGCAGCAATGCAATGCAATACAACTCGCCAGCTGCAATGTATTGCAATTGAACTGGGGGGCTGCAATCTCGTGGGGGCGTGCAGTATGTTCTGGAGCGCAAATGTATTGCTCGGTGTTGAATGCAGTACGACTGCCGCAATACAATCCAGTACAGTCCCCTGGCGTAATAGATTCGCAAGGCTTGACTGTCTGCAATGCACTTGCGATGCGTCGTCCGCGCGCGTTGCGACCGCAACGCGCGATCTGTGCCAGACAATGCACTCCATGCCAAGCATGCCAACTCTTCCGCCGAGGCCTTCGAAGAACGCTTGCGACGCCTGCCTGCCGTCTGCCGCCTGTCGTTTTGCATGTCCCGAGGCCTTTGGCAGGCACGCGAGGAGGACGTGGAGGTAATCACTTTGGCACGGGCCCGTCAGATATTCCAGTGCCACGTAACATCTTGCCACCGGCCCCTTCTTACTGGACCCCGTTTTGGGACGCCCAAATCATCCTCCCTTCCATTCTCTTCGCTCTTGTCCTCGCTCTCATCATCCGCTTCCCTTTTCGCCTCCTCTTCCTCGTCCTCGTCTTCCCCTCCTCCTCCTCATCATCCTTGCTCCTCCTCCGGCTCCTGAATAACTCCTCCTCCTCCTCCTCCTCCTCCTCCTCCTCCTCCTCCTCCCTCCTCCCCCTCCTCCTCGTCCAGCCACTGTTGATCATTGCTCGTCTTACTTCTTTCTCTTCCATCCTCCTCACCCACGGCTTCATGTTACATGTGCCTTACTTCCCCGCCCCCAGAGAAGTATTGGCAGCAAAAGGGAAGCCCTGGGGAGTTTCCGGACGCTTCTTGGAGGCTCTGGGAGACCCCTAGCAGGCCAGGGAAACTCTTGCTCCTGGCAAACCCTGGGCCCTCAGGAATCCCTGGGAGATCCCCGAAGAACCCGTTCCTGGGAGGGCTCTAGGGGGGCCTGCATAAGCCCTTGGACTGGGCATCGTCCCCACCTCAAAGTGTGTCTTGAGCGCCAACGAGGTCGCCCGCGGCAACAGTGGGCGCCTGTACATAGTGGCATGAATTCATTTCCAGACATCTTCATTGCGAGCGCTCAGCCACAGCGAGATCTGGCAGGAGCCACGCGTGTCATTGCCGACCAGCCCACGCGCGCTTCCAGATGCCTGGCATTCTTGCTGCACCCCGCAATCGCCTCTGATGAGCTACTCACTCGGAAGGCCTGTGAAGGAAGGCCTCCTCGCAACTCTTGGTCTACTCTGCACGGGCACCGTGAGCAGAAATTTGGTGAACCGTGATACTGCCGCACCCGAGAACAACCAGAGGTCGAATCGTGTTCTGTTCTACTAGTTCTCCAGATGCAACCTTCGAAAGATCATGACTTGCAGTGTCCTGGCTTCAGGGGGCCCGGCTCCGCGGAACTCTCGGCGAAGAACTTGGGGTGGAAGGCAAATGGGGCGGGCCCTCCCAAAAGGCTCAGAAGCCCCCGGGCCTTCTGAGAAGTGTTCTGAGCCTGCCCCGAAGTTTAAGACAGCCTCTCAGAAGGCGCGAAGGCTTCTGAGAAGCCCCGCCGCCTTCTGAGAGGGCCTCCTCCTTCTCTGACTACCTGCCAACCACCCCAACCCAACCCTAAGACACCGTTGGAATCGTGTAATTATTCCTGGTGGGGAGGTACTCCAGAACATGATTGAAATACGATGGCACCCGTGCACCCCCCGACCCAAAATTTTGAGTTGTTGCGGGCCTGCGGGTTGGCTGGGGGTGGATTTCCCCCCCTCGCTCTCAGCCCAAGAGCCCGCGGGCGTGAATACACACCCTGACGGTGCGAGGCAGGCTAGGCTTCGGCGGCCTCAGAGCCGCAAGGGTCGACGCCGTCCTGCCCTGGGGCCCGCTGCTCGGCAGCGCCCCGGCCGACGAGACGGTCGCGAGCGTCCTCGGGCCGCTCCGCGAGGCTCAGCCGCAGGGCTCCGCGCGCTACGTGTCCAGCGTCGAAGAAGAAACTCTTTATGTCCGCGGGCCGCGGAGGGGGAAGGGCGCCGCTCCCGGGCCCGAAGGCATGCCCGGGAGCTCGGCAACGCCCGCGCCGGGCCGCGCTGCGCTAGGCACTCAGCCGACAGCCCCCGCCGACAGCCCCGCCAGGGCAGCGAGCAGTGGCATGGACATGAAAAGAACGCGGAGGTCCGCGCGGATTCCTTGGATCGGCGCCGGCCCCTCCTCCTCATTCTCCAACTCCTCCTCCTCCTCCTCCTCCTCCTCCTCCTCCTCCTCCTCCTTCTCCTCCTCCTCCTCCCATCCCTGGCGCGCGGAGCGCGCCAGGGGCGGCGCCGGAGGCGCCGCTCGGGGGCCCCAGCGCCGACCCGAGGAGTCTGCGCCCACCTGCCTGAAGCAGGAGCCAGAAACAGCCAAGATCTACTCCGAGGGGGGGGAGGGGGGGTGCGAGGGCCCGCGACGAGCGGCAAAACAATGCATCCCAAAACGACGACCTCCGAGTTGTCGTGCTTGTGCCATCGTTTGTTCCCCGACCCGGGGGCGACAACGTGCCGCGAGCGAGCACCGTGCGCCGAAGGCGCTCCAGAGCCCGGGCACCCTCGGCGCGGTGCGCCGGCGTGGAGAGGCTGATCCCCGAGGGGCGGCGGGATCGGGAGCCCCCGCCTGGAGGTACCCCAAGGTGAGCGTTGTCTGATTCGGCGTTTCGACATCGTGAAGGGGCCCTGGGACACACAAATAGATACACACAAAGAACCGGATCCGCCATATTTTCCCATATTTTCTGGGTTTTGTCTTCCCCCACACTTCCCATATATTTTCCCATATTTTCGGGGGAATCGACGATTCATTGTGTCTGTGTTTTTTCCCCTCCTGACATTGGGCGGAAGGGTGGGAGGGGGGGTCTGGCTGCGGACCCCTGCTTGGCGCGGAGGTTTGCAACAGCGCGTCCTGTGGCGGAGGCTCCACCTGCTCGAGGCAGGCGCCCAAGACAGCCGAGATCTACTCCATGGCGGGGGAAGGGGAGGGCACGAGGGCCCGCGCCGATCGGCAGACCAATGGATAAGAGCACGATCACCACCGAAAAAGATCGAGAGCGCCAGCCAGGGTTGCCCCAGGCGGAGGACGACAGCTCCAGCCAGGGTCGTCGGAGGTACATCCCCCCGCGCGCTCGTGCCGAAACTCGACTGTATCCAACAAGCCTTTCGAGACGTAGGCGGTTTACGTAGCGAATGCGTTATTGCAGGCCCCTTCCCTGAAATGAGTTCCCCTCCCTCTATAGCCTCCACTGGGTCTGGAAGGGAGGGGGGGCGCAGGCGATCAGAGCGTACAACATAGCCAAAGATGGCTCCAAGATGGCCTCAGCTATAGCCCAAGATGGCCTCCAAGATGGCGCAACATAGCTCAGCAGTGGCCCAATACAGTCTTTTCCAAGAGCCCCAATACCACCCCAAGACGGCTCCACGTGACCTCCGCGCCTCCCAGGGATACCCCCGAGAAGCCAAAGTCCTTCCAAATCCGTTGGCAAATCAGTGTTTGTGGCCGTTTCCCCTGTTCGCGTCCGATTGGTTGTTGAGGCCTCAAGATGGCTCCAATCTGACTCAATAAAGTTCAAAGAGGAGCCCAAAGGGCTCTCCAAAAGTCCCAAGATGTCTTGTTTCGGTCTCCGAGGGGTGGGGGGGGAGGGCGTAATATACGCAGCCCCCTTCTTCGAACGATATCTTGCGAAGCCAAATTCGGGCTCTCCTCCATGTGCCAGACTTCGACACTCGAAGCTCTCCCCGAGGGCTTCTGCTGGCCATTCACCAACATCTGAGGCCAGGGAGGGCACGAAGTGCAGACATCCCATACAGGACAGTCCCTGAGGCGGGAGGCACACGGACGAGAGGATGGATCGAGGCTGGCGGATTGCGGGGGAGGGAGGAAACGGAGGATGAAGGCGAAGAGGCGAGGGAGTGACGCAGGGAGCAGGAGCGACAGCGGAGGCATCGGAGGGAGCGTCGAGGGAGTAGGGTTAAGTCGGGCGTGTCCCCCTACAGGGGAATTTTGGGCGAAAAATGAAAATATTCAAAACATACCCCCAATTTTTCAAAAAAAAAATCAAAAAATCGTCACCAGACTATTTTTTACTGTTTTTGAATATTCCCCCTGTAGAGGGACAGGCCCGACTTAAGAGTAGAGATGGAGAAAGCAGCGAAGAGGAGCGGGCGGGAGAAGGAAGACGAGAGGGACCTGATGCTTAGGAAGAGCGGGAAGAGGAACCAAACGTCCAACGCCCTGTTTTTGTTCACAACGCGGCTCCGCATCGCCCCGGCTTCCCCGGGACTAGCTTGTCACCCCGAATCGTGTTCTGACGGTCCCGGGCAGTGAGGGCGCCTGGATATCAAAACCGTCCACCGTGAGCTTGCTTCACGACGCGAAAATATCAGGGGACGGCGACGGCGACGAGCAGCGGCACGAGCGCATTTTTCTATTCGCGGCCATAACGGGCGCTGTGGGGGGGAGGGGGGGAGACGGTAGGGGACATAACGCAGCGCCCCCGCCCCCCAGACTGTGGTGCCGGACGCACTGCGGCAATGCCGCACTGAGCGGGGGAGCGTTACGTTTTAGGGGAGGAGGGGGGCGGCTTCTAGGGGGGGGGGGGGGGGGGGGGGGAGCGTTACGTTTTGGGTGGGAGGGGGGGGTGCGTTCCGTTTTAGGGGGGGGGAGGGGGGAGAAGGCTAAGGGGCATGACGCGCGTTAATGGCCCAGAGGGTAAAACAAAGACGCTCTCCAGCGGCCCCGGCCTCGGCAGCGCCAGGAACAGCTCCGCGTCGCAGCTCTCGGCCAGCTGCAGCAGCCCGGGGGCCACCCGCCGGCAGGCCCAGAGGAAGCCCGCCAGCCTGGGTCGGCCGCGGCGCACGCTCTCCAGGGCACGGGGGGTCGGGCCGGGGGGGAGGGGGGGAAGAGGCGGACGGGAGGAAGGGAGGGGAGGGAGGGAGGGACAGTAGATGCACAAAAGATTCGGAACCTTGCATGTTCGAGAGGGGGTTCTGGATCATTCCCCCCCCGCCCCCGGACTCAATGTTGATCTCAAGAGGGCGGTGCTCTGGGGGCTCGAATCTTTCTGTCCACTCCCGCCCCCTCCTGCGTGATGCCCTCAATATTAATTTCGGGGGGCCCGGGAAGCATCATGGCCCACAGGGTTCGAATACAATGCCCATGCACGGGGGGGAATGCTCCGAGCTGCTGTGCGGCCTCTCGCGGCAAAACAGCAGGCAGAACACTATAAATGGGCAGTGCTGAGATGCTCCTCAACGCGCGCCAGCGGCGCCAGCGACCACGCCTACGACGACCACCCGCACGACGACCACCGCGACCACCCACGACAGGACACGACCACCACCACGACCACCACGACCACCACCAGCGCGACAACCGCCACGACCACCACGACAGGACACGTACACTGCCGCGGCAACCACGACCGCTACCACCACCGCCGTCACGACGACGCAACGGCCGCCCCCCGCCGCCCCCCTGGACCCCCTGCCTAGCCGGCCGCCCCTGCCCGCAGCCATCGCCCCCGCAACGAATCAATTCGCTTGTTTGCCCAGCAGAGCTTCTGCTGCCTTTTAGACGCCCGGAGCGGGTACGGAAAACATGGGTACAATGCCGAACAACAAGTGTTGCCCAAAACCGACAGCGGCCGCTGTTGGGCAGGCGGCTTGTTGTGTTCAAAGAACAACGTCCGCGGCGGCGATGACAGCGAGTCCTGTTCAACATGAACAAGAACTGCTGTTGGGCATCGTGCCCATTCTTTCCGTACCCATTTCGATCGTCCCGATGCCTGCGCCTCCTCCCCTGTTTGCGTCCCGGAACTGACATCCGGGGAGAAGGAGGCGGGAGACGGGAGGAGGGACGGAGGGAGGTAGAGGGGAAGGAGGGAGGGATGCGGAGGGAGGGAGGGGAAGCAGAAGGAGTGAGGGCGGGAGGGGGGCTGGGGACCCCTCTTCTCCTCATCGCACTCGCTCCTCCCTCCGCTCTGCTCCCTGCTCCTGCTCCTCCCCTTCGCCCCTCCGTCTCGCTCCTGCTCCCGGGCGCTGGCCTCTCCAAGCCAGCCCTGGAGGAGGGAGGAGGGTGGAGGAGGGAGGTGGGGAGGCGGGGGAGGAGGAGGAGGAGCGCACGGAGCGAGGGGAATGGGGACTGAACCGCCCTGCAATGTAGTGTCTTCGAGGCTCGAAGAGGAGCCCCCAGAGGCCCAGACATGGGAGACCAGGTCGTCGCGATCGCTCCACGACGCCAGGTTGAGCGCGAAGTAGCGGGGGGGCGATACGTGGGGGTGCCCCTTTGGGGCCCTGAATGCCCCCTTCTGGGCCCTAAAGGAGTCCTTTGGGGGTCCTAAAGGGCCCCGTTCTGCAGCCCTCGCTGCCCCCCCCCCATTTGTCGCCCCCTCATTACGCGCCCCCAGCCGGGGATCCAGCATCGACCTCTGACCTCTCCCGGAGCCCCCCCCCCACAATCTGACAAAACATACCCAGAGCCTCGATCACCTACCAGGAGGGCGCGGTGGCATAATTATGACGGGGCCTTTCGATGTTCTTGGCCTCTTGTCTCGACAAGCCTCGTCGTCCCGGGAGCCGTGGGGCGCACTGTACAGTGGATGCCCATACCAGAAACACCCTGTTTGCCTCCAGGGTGCCATGGGTCTCTTGGGTTTCGATGGTTCTGCGATTGAAAGCGTGACCTTCCCACACCAAGAATCAATGGACGTCCTGGGGTCTCAGGATTGGGTTTCCTGTGGAAGGCTTCTTGTGGAAGGTGTCTTGTGGTCGGGTCCCTACTTTAGGGAACCGATGCCGAGGAGAGGGTGTGCCCCGTGGCCGTGCCCCTGGGTACACGGACGCAGCCCCGTGGCCGTGGCCGTGGCCGAGGAGAGGGTGTGCCCGTGGCGTGCCCCGTGGCCGTGGCCGTGCCCCCTCTGCTTCCCTCCCTCCTCAACCCGCCCGCCCTGACGATGACGACGACGAGGACGACGACGGTAACGATAACGATAACGATAACGATAACGATAACGACGACGACGACGACGACGACGACGACGACGACGACTAGGACGAGGACCCGAAGATGTTCCCCGCGGCCGCGCCATAAAGCATGCGGAAGCAGGCTCACGGCCAGCCTCTCTGTCGTCCCCTCCTCCCCCACTCTCGGCGGTCCCCTTCGTCCTGGTCAGCCTGTCCAAGCTACTTCTCCTCCCTCCCTCCCCCCCCTCCTGCTCGCCCTCCCTCTTCTCCTCCGTCCGCACCCTCCGAGGACGACGACAGTGTCGGCAACGACGAATAGGATGACGAGGACGACGACGAGGACGACGAGACCGACGAGGACGACAAAGACGACAATGACGGCGACGACGAGGACGACGACGAGGATTGACGACAGGCAACAACGACGAGACCGACGAGGACAACGACGACAACGACGGCGAGATCGACGAGAATCGACAACCGACAACGACAACGACAACAACGATGTCGAGGACGACAACGAGGACGAGATCGAGGGCAACGACGGCGGCGACGAGGACGCGCAAGGGCGACCAGCCGCGGCGGGGAACGGGAAGCTTGCTGGGCGCCGCGCTGGTGGACCGAGGCCAGGAGGTCCGGATTCTGGCGGTAGTGCTCGAAGCGCCGCCAGCTCTCCTCTGGGGGGCATGCGGCAAGGGGGCCCTGTAGAGCTCCTCCCTCGGAGAGAGCGAAGAGGAGAGGGGAGGAGGGAACCTGATGAGTGGGGGAAATGACGAGCGAGGGGCGAGGAGCAGGGGGTGCGAGGAGCATGAGGAGGTAGGAGAAGCGAGGAGCAGGAACAGGAGGGAGGATGAGGAGCGAGGACTAGGAGGACCAGTGTAAACCCAAGACTCATCAAAGATGTTGGAATCGACCCTCCCTCCAAGCTCCCTCTTCACATGCCTCTACAAGGATTCATCTCCATTGAGGGAGGTGCCCCGTTGGGAGACGATCTTTTGAGAATTTTGAAGCGTGCCACAAAAAAACATTCTCGGGACTGTTGCGTCTTGACGATCCTGAATCGTACCAAGACCCCATTCCTTGGACTTTAGCTCCGCGAATCAACGTACCTGTTGGGTCCGGACAGTCCTGAATCAAATCACAAGTTCTGTTACGCTAACCCTGGGAATCAATGAAACTCAATCCGTGTTTTAGGACGAATGCGGCGGGGCTTAAGCGAGAACCGCATTTTGAAAAGGAACCATCCCCAACCCGCCAATCCCTTGCAATTTCCAGAGACCGTGGCAAAACCACATTTTGAAACAACGCCCGCCCTCGACCCATGAAACTCTTGCAAATTATCAGGACCAGTGTGCTCGGCGCTAATGCGAAAACAACATGTTCGAAACGACCCGCCCTCAATCCGCGAAGCTCTTGCAACTGTTGTAAGACGATTGTGCGCGGCGCTGGGGCGAGAACCACATTTTGAAAACGACCCGCCTTCAATCCGCGAATCTCTTGCAATGTCACAAGATGCATGTGCGCGGTGCTCATGCGAAAGACACATGTTGAAGCGTCTCGCACTCAATATGTAAAACTGTTGCCAATTTTGAAACGTCAGGATCACAAATCAGCCGGCCCCCTTGTGGGGCCACCAGGCTGTAGGGCGAAGGTTCGCAGTTTCCTGTGCCAGTTGCAGCTTCCAATTTCCACTGTTATAGTTATGCTTCTTGCTGCTGACTGTTCCTTGTTGATGGACCGCGCGAGGGGGGGAGGCCCAAAACGGGCATTTTCACTACGCCCTGAGCGTGTGCTCTGAATTGCTGGGGTGGGTAAAAATTCACACCCCTCACGATCGGCGGGGTCAGGGGCAAAAGCGCAAGGGATTTGCCACATGTCTGACATTCGGTGGCACCCCTCATGCAGATCGGCGGGGTCAGGGTCCAAAAGCACAGAAAGGATCTGCTGGATGTTTGAAATTTGCTGGCACCCCTCATGCAGATCGGCGGGGTCAGGGACCAAAAACATATAGGATTTGCTATATGTCTAACATTCGGTGGCACCCCTCACGCAGATCGGCGGGGTCAGGGTGCAAAAACATACGGGAGTTGCCACATTTCTGAAATTTGCTGGCACCCCTCACGCAGATCGGCGGGGTCAGGGTCCAAAAACACATGGGATTTGCAACATTTATGAAATTCGGTGGCACCCCTCGCGCAGATCGGCAGGGTCAAGGACCAAAACCACATGGGATTTGCCACATTTATAAAATTCGGCGGCACCCCTCACGCAGATCGGCAGGGTCAGGGTACAAAAACACATGGGATTCGTCACATTTATAAAATTCGGCGGCACCCCTCACGCAGATCCGCAGGGCCAGGGTCGAAAAACAAACAGGTCCCGATACTGCTTCACGGCGGGGCCCAGACCTCATGATTTGGCTTGTGCATCTCCCATTATCCGAGACAGGGGGCCGGCGGCATGGGGCGAAGCCCTTACATATATAAATGGTAAGGGGATCTCAAGCGAAACGCCCGGCCCGCCCTTCCGACAGGCCTCGGGGTGGGACAGGGAGGAATTATCTATAAGGGAAAGAAATGGAGGAGGAGGAGGAGGAAGAGGAGGAAGAGGAGGAAGAGGAGGAGGAGGAGGAGGAGCAGGAGGAGGAGGAGGAGAAGGAGGAGGAGGAGGAGGAGGGGAGGAGGAGGAGGAGGAGGAGGAGGAAGAGGAGGAGGAGGTGCAGGAGGCGGAGTGGCCGTAGCCATTTTGGCTCAAGGGGCCTGCTCCTGAACTTCCCAACCTCGCTCAAGCGCGGCCAGCAGGGAGGGCCACTCCAGCTTGCCGGGCATTCGCCTGCCAGTCGATCCGAGCCCCTTCCAGGCTCAGTCGGCGCGGATGACTTGGCGCTGCCAGGATGGAGCCTGGGGCAAGCGCTGGAACAGCTGGGCGGGGAACGGAAACGGAAATGGGAATGGAGCAGATGGAGGGCGTGATGCTGCCAACAAACAATACGTGGTGTGCGATGTCTGTAGCAAGTGGAAGTGGCTGTCGCGCGCGAGGAAGGACCCGCTGTGCAGGTGCGGCAACCACTTACTCCAGGGAGACGGGCAAGGCAACGGTGTCGACAGTGGCGCATCGGCACCTGGAGATCCCCAGTTGCAGAAGATCCTGGGGGCGCTCCAAGGGCTGCTTGGACCACCGCAGCTCGCGAAGTTCAGGGAGCAGTACCTTGCAGCTGGCTCCCCGCCTGACTGCGAGGAGGAGCCTGACGCCGTCCCTGCCCTGTCCCACGACGTCGGCTTGGCCAAGAGAGCCTTGCAGCGCGCCACGACGTACAAGAAGGAGTGCCAGACCAAGGTGGACCAGCTCAAGGAGCAGCTCGCCCAGGCCGAGGCGAACCTGGACGTGGCCGCCTCGCAGGAGCAGGCCGCCAAGCAAGAGGCGGCGAAGAAGTCGCAGCAGTGGGCGGAGCTCGTCAATCCCGACGGCACGAAGGTCATTGTCATCGAAGACGAGTCCCTCTCGCCACAAGACCAGCAGGCCTTGCAGGCCTTCCTGGAGCAGCACCCGCAGATCGCCGCCAAGTACGGTCAGCAGGTGCCCAAGGCTGCCGCTGCCCCTGTCGGGCATCATGGGGCAGCCAAGGCCGCCGCCGCTGCCGCCAGTGGCGCCCCGCCCGCCGCCAAGGGGCCCGCGGCGGCGCCTGCTGCGGCCAAGGGTGGCAGCAAGGCGGCGCCGCCATCTGCGCCAGCCCAGGCGGCGCCCATGGGGCCACCGCCGCGGCCGCCCCCGCGGGGCCCCAGCCCGCGCCGCGGCGCAGGCGGTGCCGCAGCCGCCGCAGCCGAGGAGGAGCCCCACCCAGAGGACCGCAGCCGCAGCCCTGCGGCGGCGGGGGCCGCCGATTAGGAAGCAGGTGGTCGGGGCCGTGCTTACGCTGATGGTGATGCTGCTGACGGGGCTTTTCGTGACTAACGCGTCGCCGTCGGCCATGGAGTATGACCCGAGCCTCGCCACGATGTTCGGGTACCCCACCTTCTCTCAGGCCAAGGGTTCTGGAACGGGAGCAGCTGGGAATCTCACTTTCTATTTTGCCAACATTACCCTGTGGAATGTTCGTGCAAAGAACTACATCCTAGACTCGCGTTTCTTGGCCGATGTTTGCATTTTGACAGAGACGCATCTCACTCTGAGCAAGCATGGGCCTGTTCGGAAGCAGTTTAAGAAGAAGGGTTGGAAGACATATGTTTGTCCAGCCATCAGCACAGCAGAGGGGAGCAAGGCGGGAATCCCACCAGCCCTTTGGGCGTGAGTGGTTTAGAGAGCCCGCTCTGTCCTCAACCCCCCTTCTTCCCCTTCGGGGAGGGGTTTACCCCTCCCCCTCCCCCCTCCCCCTGGACCTGGACAGGGAGTCCAGGGTGATGTCAGGGGGGTCCATTTCGACTCCTCGGAGGGCCAAAAAACGACGACACTCACGAGGATTCTGGCCCCGAGGGGGGGGACGGAGTTTGGCCCCTCTGCTCGTCTTTGAATCATATATCATTGATTGTACGAGGGTGTTGGCCCCATGTTGGCCTTCTGAGGGGGCCGCGCTCATCTTCCCTCATAGCAAAATCATTGATTTTACGAAGGTGTTGGGCTCATTTTGTCCTTCTCAGGGGGCAGCTCTCATTTGCGCTTCTGAGGAGGTCGCAAGAGGCCCCAAGATGGCCCCAAGAGGCCCCCAGGAGGCTCCCAAGAGGCCTCCAAGAGGCCCCCCAGAGGCCCCCAAGCGGCCCCAAGAGGCCCCCAAGAGGCCCCCAAGAGGCCCCCAAGAGGAGGCCCCAAGAGGCCCCCAAGAGGCCCCCAAGAGGCCCCCAAGAGGCCCCAAGAGGCCCCCAAGAGGCCCCCAAGAGGCCCCCAAGAGGCCCCCAAGAGGCCCCACGAGGCCCCAAGAGGCCGCCAAGAGGCCCCACGAGGAGCCCGAACGACTCACACCAGGACGAGGGGCCCGAACGACTCACACCACGAAGAGCCCGAACGACTCACACCACAAGGAGGGGCCCGAACGACTCACACCAGGACGAGGCGCCCGAACGACTCACACCACGAGGAGCCCGAAGGACTCACACCACGACGCGGGCCCCGAACGACTCACACCACGAGGAGCCCGAACGAGTCACACCAGGAGGAGGGGCCCGAACGACTCACACCAGGATGAGGGGCCCGAACAACTCACACCACGAGAAGCCCGAACGACTCACACCAGGACGAAGAGCCCGAACGACTCACACCACGAAGAGCCCGAACGACTCACACCAGGAAGAAGGGCCCGAACGACTCACACCAGGACGAGAAACCCCAAACGACTCAAATCACGAGGAGCGCTTTCTCTCCCTCCTCCTCCGCCTCGTCCTTCTCCCGCTCCCCTCACAAGGAGGATGTACAAGGAGGCGGGAGGAAGGAGGAACAGGGGAGATATGCGGGGCCAAGCGGACACACGCCTGAAAAACACGACTGTCGGCGTGCTTCGCGAGAGCTGCTGCTGTGAGATGGGCTGGTGGGGATACGCGAAGCGTAAAGAATTCTGTTGGGTGTCAGGTCTCACCTTTCCTCTCACGCTCGTGTCATGGGGGCCCAGGGCCACGCTAAACCTCTTGTTTCGGGGACTCGCTGGACGAGCGTAGTCATCAACCTAGATAAGATCAGCTTCCTCATGA